TGCTAAGTCCATTGATTCATTACATCTGTTAGATCTCTTCTTTCTCTCTGTTAAGTTTCTGTCTGATTGATCTGTCCATTGGCGAAAGAGGAGTGTTGAAATCTCCTACTATTAGTGTGTGGGGCTTGATGTGTGATTTGAGCTTTAGTAATGTTTCTTTCACATATGTGGGTGCTTTTATATTAGGGGCATAGATATTCAGGATTGAGACTTCATCCTGATGAATTGTTCCTGTTATGAATATAAAGTGTCCTTCTCCATATCTTCTGATTGATTTTAGTTTGAAATCAATTTTGTTAGATATTAGGATAGCCACACCAACTTGTTTCTTAGGTTCATTTAATTGTAAAACCTTTTCCCAACCCTTTACTCTGAAGTAGTGTCTGTCTTTGAGGTTGAGGTGTGTTTCATGTAAACAGCAGAATGTTGGATCCTGTTTTCACAATCATTCTCTTAACCTGTGCCTTTTTATAGGTGAATTTAGTCCATTGATATTAAGCGATATTAATGACCAGTGGTGGTCAACTCCGGTTATTTTTTGGTGGTAGTGTTTGTGTGTTTCTCTTCTTTGAGTTTTGTTGGTGGAGGGTTATCAGATGTCTGTGTTATTGTGAGTGTTGTTAGCTTCCTTGGGTTGAGGTTTTCCTTCTAGTACTTTCTGTAAGGCTGGGTTTGTAGATACATATTGTTTAAATCTGTTTTTGTCATGGAATATTTTGTTTTCTCCATTGATAGTGAAAGAAAGCTTTGCTGGGTATAGTAGTCTGGGCTTGTATCCATGGTCTCTTAGTGTGTGCAGCACATCTATTCAAGACTTTCTGGCTTTCATAGCTTTCATTGAGAAGTCAGATGTAATTCTGATAGGTTTACCTTTATATGTTACTTGACCTTTTCCCTTTGCAGCTCTTAATATTCTTTCCTTTTCTGCATGTTTTGTGTTTTGATTATTATATGGTGAGGGGATTTTTTTTTGATCCAGTCTATTTGGTGTTCTGTAAGCTTCCTGTACCTTCAAGGGATATCCTTCTTTAGGTTTGGGAAGAATATCCCTAAGAAGGTACAAGAAGTTTTCTATAATTTTGTTGAATATATTTTCTGGGCCTTTGAGCTGGAGTTCTTCTCCTTCTTCTACCGCTATTATTCTTAGGTTTGGTCTTTTCATGGTGTCCCAGATTTCCTGGATGTTTTGTGTTAATAATTTGTTGGATTTAATGTTTTCTTTGATCAATGAGTCTATTTCCTCTATAGTATCTTCAGCACCTGAGATTCTTTCTTCTATTTCTTGTATTCTGTTGGTTATACTTGTCTTTGTAGTTCCTGTTCATTTACCCAGATTTTCCATTTCCCGAGTTCCCTCAGTTTGTGTTTTCTTTATTACCTCCATTTCAGTCTTCACATCTTGAACTGTTTCCTTTACCTGTTTGATTGCTTTTTCTTGGTTTTCTTGGGTATCTTTGAGGGATTTACTGATTTCTTCAAAATTTTTGTTTGTCTTCTCTTCCATTTCTTTAAGGGAGTTCTTCACTTCCTGTTTAAAGGTCGCCATCATTTTCATAAGGTTACGTTTAATGTCTTTTTCTTCTACTTTTTCTGCATTAGGATGTTCAAATCTTCCTGTTGTGTGTTCGCTGGATTCTGGTGTTACCATGTTGCTTTTCAGGATGCTGGAGGAATTCTTGCACTGGCGCCTACCCATCTATTCCTTCAAATAAGGCCAACAGAGTCTTGGCATCTTGGTCCAATCTTTGCTGTGGCTGACTGAGTGCTTAGGGAGTTTTTCTTGGTCTGCCCTCTCTTGGGTCCCCTCAGCACTGGAGCAGGCTGTGTTGCAGGATTCCAAGGACCTTGCAGGTGAAAAGGTGGGCTTGGGGGCAGGGTGGGATGGGGTAAAGAAGCTCAGCAGCAGAAACACACCCCACTGGATGGTCAGAAAGACTTAGGGAATTGGGAGAGCCTGGATTTTGTCCCCCTGGGAAGGTCCCAGAGAGTGGTACTTCTGGCCTCAGTCCCTTCTAAAGGACTGGGAATTCTAAAAAACTGGCCTTTATCTTTGAAAGTTATTCAGATTTCTTGGGGATAGCCTTCTACTGGGGCCAATGGAGACCTCATCATTCACCACGTCCTGCCTGTGTCCCATCCCCTCCTTGTGCCATGGAGAACTCTAGGCGTTACTGACCAACAGGAGATAAAAGGTTTCATTATCTTTGAAGGAATTATTGGCTACATCATCTTCATATTATCTAGCATGTGTGTGTTCGAGAATATATACATTTGATATCAAGCCGCCAACTTAGTTCAGAAGAAAATACAAACTGGTTATCAAAATAATCTTCTGGCTTCTGTCTTACAGCAACTGATTCATTGACCCAGCTTTAGGAGTTTCTCAATGGACTATTATCTTGAGATTTTTTTTAAAATTTATTACATTTTTTTAAAAAATAAATCCAAATTCCCACTCCCTCCCTTCCTCCCATCCCCTCCACACACTCTTCCACCCCACCCCCATCTAATCCTCAGAGAAGGTAAGGCACATTGCTTTGTGGAAGGTCCAAGGCCCTATCTACTATATCCAGGCTGAGCAAGGTATACATCCAAGAGAATAGGATCCCAAAAAGCCAGTACATGCAGTAGAGATAAATCCCGGTGACACTGCTAGCAGCCCCTCAGTCTGCCCCAGCCAAACAACTGTCAACCACATTCAGAGAGACTCGTTTGGTCCTATGCTCTTTCTTCCAGTCCAGCTGGAGTTGGTGAGCTCCCATTAGCTCAGTAAACTGTTTCAATGGATGAACTCTTCCTGGTCTTGACCTCTTTGCTCATATTCCCTTTCCTTCCACTCTTCAACTGAACCTTGGGAGCTCAGTCCAGTGTTCCGATGTGGGTCTCTGCCTTTGTTTCCATCTGTTGTTGGATGAAGGTTGACTTGTCCTGTAGTCAGACTGATGATTATCTTAAAGATCACCATAAAACCTTCGTCTAACAACAGAGGGATTTTTTTTAACCTTCTGTTTGAGACTCTGTCCGCATGATGATAAAGATAGTACCTGACACACTTTCTCATTTTTAAAATGCCCGTTCTGTGCCCTTTGTAAAACAGATGTTCAATTAACTGAAGATGACTTAAAATTCTTCCAAATTGCTCTATATAATAATGGAAAACCTGGATTTCTGCAATTAGGACTGCTCATATCTGTTTTAAAAGTGATCAGAGATCTTCAGCTTTAAAGAAAATATAGGCTCATGATGCGGGAGAATTGTCTGTATTCTGTCAATCATATTTTAATAAAACGCTGATTGGCCAGGCAGGAAGTATAGGCGGGTCAACCAGACAGGTAGTAGAGGCGGGGCAATGAGAATAGAATAAGGTTATGGAGGAGGAAGGTCCCTCCACCATTCCTGTGCAGACCACCGAAGAGGCAACATGTAAGCTGTCACACTGAGAAAGGTACTGAGCCCGTGTGGCTAACATAGATCAGAATAATGGGTTAATATAAGTTATAAGAGTTAACAAGAAACCTGAGCTAATGGGCCAATCAGTTTATAAACTTATGGAGTCCTGTGTGTGATTTTTCTTTGGGGTTTGCCAACTTGTTGGGGTGCCGGGCGGGACAGATACCCCAACAAGCTGGCCCTTCATGCTACGGGCTCATACTTTATAGATAAACCTTTGAGGCTCTATATACTTGAGAAATTATGATTTGTATAAAGCGATTTGTTTTATTACATTTTTTTAAAGTTTATTAAAATACGAAAATCTCCATTTCCGCCCCTCCTCCCAACACCCTCCCACTCCCCCCACTCCCTCCCCTCCTCCCTCTCCATCCCCAATAACAGTCAGGGTCTCCCACCCTCTGGGTAGTTCAAGCTCCTCCCCCCTCCCACCAGGTCCAGGAAGGTGAGCATCCAAACAGACTGGATCCCAAAAATCCAGTATATGCAGAGGAAACAAGTCCCAGTGTCATTGTCAATGGCTTTTCAGGAAGACTCCAGGCCAGCCACATTCAGAGAATCTGGCTGGATTACATGCTCGCTCAGTCCCAGAAAACTGGCCTTGGTGAACTCTCATTAGATCAGTCCCCTTGTATCAGTGGGTGATCGCACCCCTCGCGGTCCTGATTTCCTTTCTCATGTTCTTCCTCCTTCTGCTCCTCGTTTGAACCTTTGGGGACTCAGTCCGGTGCTCCAATGTGAGTCTCCGTCTGTATCGCCATCCCTCGTGAGATGAAGGTTCCCTCTGATCTTGCCTTCCTTGCTCACGTTTTCTTTCCTTTTGCTTCTCGTTTGGACCTAGCGAGTTAAGTCCAGTGTTCCAATGTGGATCGCCGTCTCCAACTCCATCCATCACCAGATGAAGGATCGATGGTGATAAGCAAAATATTCATCAGTATGGTTATGGGCCAAGGCCAGTTCAGGCACCCTCTCCTCTGTCTAGAGAAAAATCTGAGGATCTCTCCTTGGACCTGGGATCCCATTTATAATCAAGTCTCTAGTAAACCCTAAACTGACTCCCTTAGTTGAGGTATATTCTTCCCTGATCCCATATCTATCCTTCCTCCCTCTCCCCCTCCCAGTCTCCCGAGCATTCCCCATTCCTCCCCTGCTCCCTTCTCCCAAACCCTCTCCCCTTCCAGCAACCCTCCCCCCACCAAGCACCCGAGGTTACCTGGGACTCTTGTCTATTTCCAAACTCCAGGAGGAAAACTACCTGAATTTTCTTCAGGTCCACCCTCCTATCCAGCTTCTCTAGGATCACGAATAATAGGCTCAAAGACCTTTAATTATGGCTAGAATCCACTTATGAGTGAATACATACCATATTCCTCTTTTTGGGTCTGGCTTACCTGACTCAGTAAAGAGTTTTCTTTTCTTTTCTTTTTTTTATTATTGCATGTTTTTATATTCAGATATTTATTCTGAGACTTGTTTGAATTTCATAAGAAGTTAGAATTTTTAATTTTTCTCTATTGCTGCTTTTAACATATGGTGAATTTTGTGTCCAGATCAAAGACCCAGTGCCTTTTCATTCAAATGGAATTCTGTGATAAAGGAACTTTGGAGAACTGGATGGTGAATGAAAAACAGAAGAAACCAGACAAAGATTTACTTTTGGAATTATTTGAACAAATAACGACAGGGGTTGATTATATACATTCAAAAGCTCTGATTCACAGAGATCTTAAGGTAAGGGGAAGGTGCTTTGTTAGTTGATAAACACACAGTTTAATGACTTTAAAGTGTATTTTCTCTGTTTTCAATTTGTGCTTGGCTGTTAGTCATGATAAAATAACATTTCTCTAGCCTGCTGGACTTAAACAGGGTCTGAAACTTACCCCAGATGCCATTCCATTCAACTGCTCAGCAGATCTCTGGTCCTGAGAACTCACTGTGGCAATGACCCTATCAGAAGTCCTGTTCCCTCCAGGCTGTATTTAGTGTGATGGTCATTGCCTAAGTGTAAACAGTAGGAGCTCCCTTTCATAGACTGAAAATAACTGTGGTGGTTGCCAGGGATTCCCAGCTGCTCGGACCCCTAAGTGTGGTGGTTGCCGGGGATGGCCCGCTGCTCGGACCCCTAAGTGTGGTGGTTGCCAGGGATGGCCCGCTGCTCGGACCCCTAACTGTGGTAACTGTGGTGGTTGCCAGGGATGGCCCGCTGCTCGGACCCCACTTCTGGTGTTGCGCTGCCCTGCTCCACTGTGGTTCAGCTGCTGTTCCTGAGGGCACATGCTGCTGAGGAGTCCACAGCCTTGCCCTAGTGTTTCCCTGATTGGAGTCTTCTCCCCCATAATTAGGAAAACCAATGCTTTCAAATATTCACCATCCCTCTTAGTCTGTTTGCTTTTATGATCCAACAAGTTTCCCTGTTTTCCCCCCATCAGCAAGAAAGGAGAGACGCCAAGGAGTCCAGCGATTGCCTTCTTTATCACAACCCTACCCTAATTCACTCGAGTTCTTCCTGATAGCTTCGTTCATGTTCTTCACCAGACATGCATGCTTCCGACTGTCCTCTTTGGTTCTGATTCCTTTACTTAACCTTTCTAGATCACTAAGCCTCTGCCTTTTCTGCTCTAAGGCAGAAGAACCTTATCCAAGTGAATCTTGGCTACCTGGGTCTAAAACAGCCAGAATGAGGAATGATTCAAAAAGTTCCTAGGAAAAATAAGTACCCCTGTTTATAGCTGCTTGCAGAACCAAGCTAGAATGAAGTGCCCATCAAAACATTTGAGTTGTGTTTGCCTTGCATTTGTGAACTTAGTAACTTGATATCTGAGTCTTCCTATTTCTAATATTTCTCTGTAGCAATACCTAGAAATGTTCTTAAAAGTTAGGAGATTTTTAGGAATGCTATGTTCCAACAGATAAATGAGGACCAGAATGGATGGCACATACTAGTAATCCCAACATCTCAGCACCTGAGGCAGGAGGATTATGAGTTTGAGGCTAGCCCGGTCTATAAACATAGATCCTATCTCAAGCACATTCTAGTTTTTGTTTTTATTCACTATCCCTCACTTTAGTATAAATCATACACAGGATTATGTGGTTCTTCCAGATCTGAGGTCCTTCTGCCCTCTTCTCTGACTTTTCTACTACAATGCTGCTTCCTCTCATCTCAGAAAGGATTGGAAAGATGTGCTTCAGCTGTCTCCCAGTGAACGATGTTTTAAAATCTATTGTTACATGAGGTCTCCAAGAGCTGACTTTTTATTGTGTTAGAGTCTTGAGCTCCAGGCCACAGCTGTAGGACCATATGGTTTCTAGAGAGAGGGCGTTCTCTGCTTCTCTGTATCTCATCTCTGTGCCAGAGGGGTCAGCGCTGTCCAGATCATTGAACCTAGCCTCTGCTCCCTGGATCAAGTTGGCACATTTCCTCCCTGTTCCATAACCTCACATTTCATTTATTCATAGTATAACTGACTAAATAAGACAGAACACCATTGTTTTTTTTCTTTATTTAAAAGAATTATTTTGTTTTTTAGTTTTTGTTTTTTTTGAGACAGGGGTTTTTCTGTGTAGCCCTTTACTGTGCCTTCAGCTTAGCCTGGGAACATTGTCTCCCATGTCCACCGCACACAAACATCCTTCTTCCTACTGACTTTAAGTCCTAATCCACTGATTGAACTGGAATCTCACTGCTAATTTCAGCACAGGGCTTCTCAGAAGCACTTCCCTGGGGTCCTCATCTCATCCCTCATTTCTTAGCTAGGCCCTCTTGTAGGTGCGTGTGTGTATCCCAACATTGTGTTGAATATCTAGTTTGGCAAAAATGGCAAAATATTAGCTTTGTCACCACCAATTCTCTTGTTTTCAGTCCATATTGTCTACAGAGTTATGTAACACATGTGGCCACTGTTTATTTGTTATGTGTGCATTTGCACGTGCAATGCACATATATACACGTTTGGGTCAGTGAGATAGCTCAGTGGGTAAAGATGATTGTTGTACAAGACTAGTGATCTAAGTTCAGCTTCTGGAACCCACATGAAGGTGCAAAGAGAAAAGTGACAAAACAAAATTGTCTTTTACACGCAAACACACACACACATTTTAAATATGTTTAGTATTGCATCTCAGAGTGGCTAGACATGCAGCTCAATTGTTAGCATGCTTGCCTAGCATTTATGGAGCTCTGAATTTGATCCCTAGCTGTGTGTAAACCAGACATGGTGGCTCATTCTCTTAATCCCAGGACTCAGAAGGTGGAGGTGAAAGGATCAAAAGTTCAAGGTCATCCTTGGTTATGTACTGAGTTTGGGGCTGACAGTGGATATGTGAGACCCTATAAACCAAACCAAACAACAGTAAAACAAAGCGCCCCCAACCCAAACAACAGCAGCAACCAAAACAAAACCAAAGGAAACTCATAGAGAATGTGTTTGTAATCATTCCCAGCTCCTACTTAACAAGGTGGAGGGGGTATACACTTGACAAGGTGGGGGGGGGGGGGTATACACTTAACAAGGTGGAGCGGGTATACTTATAAACTCTTGTCAGAATCTGGGAGAAATCCCGCATGGGGCATCCTGCAGCATTGCTGAGAACTGAGCCATTCAGAGACTCTCAAAATTGAAAGGGTGGTTTTACTCACTACAGACCTTAAATTACATCAGCAGCATGCCCTCGGGGTGTATCCAGCCCTTTTCTGGGATGGGGAGCTCTAATCTCATTCCTTGAGCCTCACTATATTACTATGGAGGAAAGAAAATATTTTTACCCATGCCTACCTTGGATCCTTCCCCTGGGACCCTGCAAAGTGAATCTTCCACTTGTTCTGTTCTGATATTTGGAGGCAGGTGTGAACCAAGCCACCTTCGCTATCATTTCAGTCTTTTCTTCTTCAGTTGCCTTTTTAAAATCCCAAAGTGTTAAATTCCCTAGTTTGGGCTGCCCGTGTAAGGAGAAATGTCAACAAATGAGTATAAAAGGTTGTTGGGACCTGTGGTAATAGTTGGTCCGAATCACATATATTAATGAATTTTTTTCTATAGCCAGGTAATATATTTTTAGTAGATGAAAAGCACATAAAGATTGGAGACTTTGGCCTCGTAACAGACCTAGAAAATGATGGAAATCGAACAAAGCGAGCAGGAACTCTTCTATACTTGAGTCCAGAACAGGTAAAGTCCCTTTCCTTTCTGTTTGTGTATATTTTACTTCTTTATTTTCTTTGTGTGTGTGTGTGTGTGTGTGTGTGTGTGTGTGTGGTGTTGTGCAAATTCATGTAGGTGTGTGTACATGTGTGTGGTGTGTGGATGTTTGTGCATGAACATATGGAAGTCCTAGGTTGTTGTGTAAGGGTGTCAGGTATCTTCTCTTACCATAAGCACACACACACACACACACACACACACACACACATAGACACACATATATCACAAATTCTAATTGGTCTTAATAAATAAATCCTGAAGTCAGATATTAGGGGGTGAAAGCTGAAAGATCAGAGAAGCAAAATGCCAACTACTAGAGAGTTCTTTTACCTCTACCAATGCTCAGACCAAAGGGGCGATCCTGTCCTCAGACTGCACTGCTCCTCAGACTGCTTCAGACTGTATCTGTCTCCACCAAACTTCTGACCGCACTGAGCTCCTGTCTCCGCCCAGCCATATCACTCCTGTCTTCCACCTCCCAAATACTGATATTAAAGGTGTGGGATGCCAAGGGTTGTGATCACCTTTCTGTGAACTCTTTTTCTCATTTAGACAGATTCAATCTAATGCAGCCCAAAGTGACCTTGAACTAACAAAGATCCCTCTGCTTCTGTCTCTGGAGTCCTGGGATTAAAGACATTGCCACTACTCCCCAGCCTCTAGTGGCTTAGTTCTTCACTCCAATCTTCAGGCAAGCTTTATTTGTTAAAAACAACTAAATATCACCACACACACACATACACACACACACACATACACATATACCACATATACACCACACATACCACATATATATCATACATACCATGTATATACTACATATGACACACATACCACATATACAATGCATACACACCATTTATACACCACACATATATCTTACATACCACACATGCATCGCATGTATACATCATATATACCAAGAGTATATACATATACATTTATATGTATATTGTATGAGTGTTTTATCTGCTTGTATGTCTGTGCATCATATGCATTCAGTGCCTACAGAGACCAGAAGAGATTCTGAATCCCCTGGGACTGGAATTACAGATGGTCGTGTGTGGTAACAAGGCTACTTGTTTGTTTCCCGGCCAACCAGCAAGCAGCTCAGACCCGAAATAACCACACAGAAACTATATTTAAAACACTGCTCGGCCAATGACTCTAGCATATTTCTGGCTAACTCATAACTTAAATTAACCCATCTCTATTAATCTGTGTATCATCACGAGGCTGTGGCTTACCAAGTAAAGTTCCAGCGTCTGTCTATGGTGGGACTCAAGGCTTCTCTCTGACTCTGTCTCCTTTCTCCCTGTCTAGCTCTGCTTTACTCCATCACAGGTCCAAAACAGCATCTTTATTAACCAATGGTATTCACAGCCTGCAGAGGGGAATCCCACATCAGTTGTGAGTAAATTGAACTCAGGTCCTTTGGGAGAGCAGCCAGTACTCTTAACAGCTGAGCCACCTCTCTAGCACCTCATGTAAAAATTTAAATTAATATTTATTTATTTTGTGTATTGTGGGAGGGGGAAAACAGGCACTTGCTGTGCGTGAGGAGGTTCCAGGGAAGGGACTCAGGCCACCAGGCTCGGAGGCATAAATCGTTACCTGCTGAACTGTCTCACAGACCCTCTACAGTATGTTCTGAGACTGAATATAATGTATTCCCTCTGAACATGGAAGTCAACACGCTAGTTAGGGTAGCGGGCCAATAAATGTGTGAAAGGTGCCTCCATCTCTGTAGCATGTAGTGCCTAAGACAATAAAAGCAGTGCACAAAAAGTTGTATTATATGTTGCTTAGCGGGTAATGATTATAGCGGGAAAGGGTCTGTATATATGCATTTTACATGCAGTTATGTTTGTGGATCTGGACTTGGCTGAATGTGCAGGTATGTAAACTGTAGACACACAGAGCTAAGGGTGTGTCTATGGTAGACTTCTGGATGTGAAGGGAAAGAATTGAGAGAGAATTGCTTTCCAAACATAGAAAGTGCTTCCAAATTGTCATTGAAAAATTGATTATTAATAACCTCATAGTAAAGGATACAAGAATGCTGCCATCTCATAGTCACCAATCATGTGTGGGAAGTCCTCAGTTTTGACACATGAGGAATGCTTTGCTTTCCTTCGTACCTTCTAGATGTGTTTGAAAGTATTCAATCTTTTATATATTTACTTATTTTTTCCCTGTAAACTCTCTAAACACATATTTTCCCATTTTCATAAACAGTCTGTCTTTTGCTATGTATTTGCAAGGAATCTTTCCACATTTTGGGTGATAGTTCTGTATATGGTTCAATATTGCAATTTTTTTTCTCCGTTACGTTTTTGCTTTCAACACTGCTACTGGATTAGACGGTTTTGTTGTGTTTATCTGTAGTTTCTTGATGGTTGCCAGTTTTCTCATTTTTACTTTGAAGACATTTTATATCAGAAGACAATAATTTTTCCAATACTTTGACCTATTTTGAATTTTTTCATATATATGTGGAAGGGCTATCACCTGATCTTTCCACTTATAATATATAGTTACTTCATTATCATATAGTAAATACTTTACAATGCCATTTTAAGTAAAATTCATGGAGACAGAAAATGAAAAAAAGGTTACCAGAGAGCTGGGGGAAGTGAGGAATTAATTGTATAATACATACAATTTCTATTTGGCACGATGGAAATTTCTAGAAATAGAGATGGTGATGGTTACAAAACATTGTGAAAGTGCTTACAAACGTGGAATTGTTCAAATAAATGATTAATGTAGTAAATTTACTGTCCTAACACATTAAACACGTTTTATTTGTTTGTATTCACTGTATTAGTGCTAAATTTCATAAAGACAATCTCCAAGTATCACACGCTCTACCATATCCCTCCCTGTATCTCCCTCTTTCTGTTGCCTCCCCTTTGCCAGTCTCTGTTCTCCCCGAGTTTCCTTTCCACTGTGTGTTGGCGCAGCCGGATTTGTTTGTGTATTAGTGTACTTTTACATAGAACTAAGGTCCAAAAATGAGAGAAAATGTGGTAGTTTTCTTTCTGAGCTGGGGCTCTTCCTTTAATATGATTGCATCCAGTTGTATCTGTTTTCTTAAATGTTGGATGATCTTGTTTTTTACATCTCAATAAAGCTTCATTTTATATATGTGTATGTGTATATATATATGTGTGTATATATATTTCTGTATATATATATTGGTATGCATGTGTGTATACACACATTATGTATGTATGTATGTATGTATGTATGTATGTATGTATATGTTTTCTTTATCCTTACATCTTCTGATGGCCACTTGGGCTGATCCCATAACTTGACTATTGTGAATAGAGCTATGGCACATGGATAATCAAGTGTCTCCGTTGTGTGTCGACTCAGAATCCTTACCCAGGAAAGTTACACCTGAGTAAGATTTCATCTTGCCCCATCCAGAATGGAATGGCTGTTATAAAGAAAACAACAACAAATGCTGACAAAGATCTTGAATATTTCCATGTTTCTTAGCCATTTATTCTTAGCTTTTCAGAACAGTCTGATATGTTTTATTAGCTCCATTAATTGACTGGATGGGATGCTGGAACTTCGTTTTGTATTTAGTTTTTTGGGAGTCTTTCTATGTTTTGGAGATTAGAAATTTATTATATGCTTAGCTAGCCAAGATTTTGCTTTTCTTTGGGCTGTTTCTTCTTTGGCTATTGTTTCTTGGGCTGTGCAGAAGCTTCATGATTTCATGCAATTCCATTTGTCAATTCTTGATGTAATTTTCTGGGCTGTTAGAGCCTTTTCCAAAAAGTCCTTGTCTATGCTTGCATATCTTATGATGTTTTCCTGTTTTGTCTCTGACACTTTCACAGTTTTGGGTATTTAATCCAGTCTGAACTGATTTTTGTGTGCATAGACCCAGGTGTGTGCTCACACACATCCATGGAGAGAGGGAAAGACAGAGAGGGAGAGAGTATGTGTGAGAGAGGGAAAGAGAAAGATGGGGGAGAGAGACAGAGAGAGAAGTTATCATCAATAAGACTAATTCTCTTAGCAGTTCATTATTAGAATATAGAAAATCTACTGATTTTTTTAATTTTTTAATTTTTTTTATTTATAAGAATTTCCACTTCTTTCCCTCCTCCCAATACCCTCCTGCTCCCCCCACTCCCTCTCCTCCTCCCTCTCCAGTCCCAAGAGCAGTCAGGGTTTCCTGCCTTGTGGGAAGTCCAAGTTCCTCCCCCCTCCCTCCAGGTCCAGGAAGGTGAGCATCCAAACAGATCAGGATCCCAAAAAGTCAGTACATGCAGACGAAACAAGACCCAGTGCCATTGTCAATGGCTTCTCAGTCAGCCCCCATGTCAGCCACATTCAGAGACTCTGGCCACATTCAGAGAATCCGGTTTGATCACATGCTCGTTCAGTCCCAGTCCAACTGGCCATGGTGAGCTCTCATTCGATCAGTCCCCTTGTGTCAGTGGGTGAACGCACCTTTCGCGGTCCTGACTTTCTTTTTCATGTTCTCCCTCCTTCTGCTCCTCATTTGGACCTTGGGGGCTCAATCCAGCGTTCCAATGTGGGTCTCCGTCTCTATCTCCATCCATCGTCCGATGAAGGTTCCCTCTGGTTCTGCTTTCCTTGCTCACGATCTCCCTTCCTCTGCTTCTCATTTGGACCTAGGGAGTTAAGTCCAGTGTTCCAATATTTGTCTCTGTCTCTATCTCCATTCTTCGCCATATGAAGGTTCTGTGGGGACATGCAAAATATTCATTAGTATGGTTATGGGCCAAGGCCATTTCAGGCACCTTCTCCTCTGCTGCCCAGGGAACAATCTGGGGACCTCTCCTTGGGCCTGGGAACCCCTCCAGAATCAAGTCTCTTGCAAACCCTAAAATGGCTCCCTTAGTTGAGATATAAACTTCCCTGCTCCCATAACCATCCTTCCTCCCTCCCCCCTCCCATTCCCCCAAGCCATCCCC